ATTTATTTATTTAGGGCCTCTTTATGACGTCATGCTACAGGCCCAGCACTAGCTTAGTCCGGCACTGGCGGTGCCAGCATGCAGCAGTGTGCACACTTTTGGTAACAGACTTCGGCCGACTGAGAAATGTTTCGTTTTATTTTCATCACACGGAAAATCCATTCTCGCCAGTTCAGAATATGTTTGATTTATAGTTCGACTGCAGGAGGAATCCGATGAACTATAAAGCTCTTTTGTCACAGGGCTAAGCGCGTTACAAAGACAAAGACAAAGATCCCCCTTATAGCCTTAACAGACTGTAGGGGCAAGTGCGCCTTTGTCTCCCCAGTGGCGATGTTTACACATCGCACCAGGTACTCATTTAAGGCTGAGTCGACCTAGGGGAGGCCCAGGACCGGTTCAAATAATCGTCACTGGTTAGCCGTGAGCGGGAAATCGAACCCGGGTGGCCAGGTTCATAGCGCAGCGCAACTAACCGCTACACCACCGCTCCCCATAATACAACAACAGTGACACAAACACGATAGGAATGTAACGTAGAGGAAAGGTAAACAAAGCACCCACACACGTACAACAACGAACCCTCCCCTCCCCATCTTACCAGGCAGAGCCTACTAAGGTGTTGACTTATTGTTCAGAAGCGACCTGGCCACAAGTGACAGCTCTAGTTTCGATGGCAAGGACCCGCACCCACAGCAAAGTGGCCCATCCGTTTTTGACATTTATAGCACCCAAAGGAATGTAAATAATCTCAATGCGACGAAGGGGGGGGGGGGTGTAATAGTAGAATGCTGCGTCTGGTTCACTCGAAACGAGGCCACCGTGGGTCGGGGTCCTTGGTCCAAATGCGGCCAACATTGGAAACATTTGTACCTGCAAAATGACTCATAATCAACGTTTTTGGGTTTAGATCGCGTTATTTATAAATGTGTCGTAACCCTCCACCACCCGACACGGCCAATCAGTAAAAAAGTGTCACGTTGACAAAAGACAAATAGTTCACTGCTTTAGCCCACCGGTGTGTTGAAGCGTGCAACCACAACATTTTCAATTTGAGTAGTACGACGTTTCGCTGGTAATTGCATCCAGCATCATCGGGCAATTCGCCAGATGGGGGGGCTAAAGCAGTGAACTATTTGTCTTTTGTCAACGTGACACTTTTTTACTGATTGGCCGTGTCGGGTGGTGGAGGGTTACGACACATTTATAAATAACGCGATCTAAACCCAAAAACGTTGATTATGAATAATATTGGTCGCGAAAGCCTGCTACGTGTCAAATGACTCACTTGGGATTCGGCACGGCAACATCACAGCAAACTACTGCGCACTTTGATGTGAAAACAGGGCGGAGCTGTGCACAGTAGCATTGGCCAAACATCACAATGCAGGTTTGCATGTATTCTAGATTTGAAGCTTTCGTGACTGCAAGGATTCATATTCTTAGGTTAATAAAAAGTGTGCCGTACTTGGCCCTTCCCCTCTCCAACCATTATATAAACGGAGTGGTAGCTCTTGCAATCTCTCATTTACTTGATACAGCTGTCGTGGCTGCGACGGTTCCACCTGAAGACGGAAGCTTGTGTTGCCTCCGAAACGTCGTGATTTTTGTTTTATTTTACTTTTATTATTTTTAATGTTTTACCTACGTAACTTTACCGAAAAACCTAAGAATAGGTTTGCATATCTCTGGATTTTTCTCCGGGTGCTCCAGTTTTCCCCTCCGCATTCAGAATCAACACCACTCGTTGAGAGAATGTGGCTGCTATAGATGTCCACGTGATGATGACGGCAAACTACGGCGCACTTGGCTGTGAAAACATGGCTCTTCGGTGAGGCGTTAACATATTTTTTGAGAAGCGACCTGGCCACAAATGACAGCTAGTTGGGATTCCAACGACCCACAACTAACAACAGACTTACAGGTGGGCTGCAGAGAAGTCCGGCCAGTAGCCAGCCAGAAAACCCGAGGCTTTGATGTTGTCATATATATAGAAATAGCAATGCGATGGGCGTATGCCTCCGATTCTATTTTAAGAGTTCCAGCTCACACACACAAGAGTTGGGCGATGCGATACGCCCAGGGGGCACGGAAACGAAGCTACGATCCTTCACACATTCACTTCAACATTCCGAAACGAAACATTCTGGTGGCGACACGGCGGGGTTTCTTGTCGCAGGAATGTGGAATTTCCACCGCCGGCTTGGCGTTTGGAACAACGAGAACAACACGAGCGCATTCCCGAAGTATGGGGGAGACTGGCAAGATCTCCGTTCTACTCTTGCATATGGTGGCAGCAGCAGCAGCAACAGCAAAATGTTCATGAGCTCAATGCCGATATCGAGATCCGCAGCTGCTAGCCACGACGAGACGGTTTCAGCAGAGAGAGAGAGAGAGAGTTCGTGTCGTGTCGCTCCTCCGTTGCAGGAGCACAGACCACCACAGCGGTTACATTTCGATTTAAATCTTTCGTGACTGCAATGATTCATATTCTTGGTTCTTTCGGTAAAGTCACGTAGAAGGGAAATGATAAAATAATAAAAATATTTAAAAAAAAATTCTCACGACGTTTCGACTGCAACACAAGCAATCATCATCCACATATTTCACACCTGACGATGCTTGCTTGTGTTGCAGTCGAAACGTCGTGAGAATTTTTTATTGTTTTATATTTTTATTATTTTATTATTTCCCTTCTACGTGACTTTACCGAAAGCACCAAAGAGCAGAGTGTGGCTCCGCTCTATAATTGTCCACATTTATCAAGGAGGAGTGCGCTCACGGCCCGCTGTTGACGTCCCGATGATGCGGATGATGGTCACACCACCACCGGCAGTGTCTACGAGGAGGAGGAATGTCCATGCGAGAATGTTTGGAGGGTCTCCATCGAGGCGTTATATTATTTCGTGCGCCCGCGTTGTTCCACCCCCTTTGTCGGCACATCGTTCTTCCAGATCATGTCCACGATTCGTTAAAAAGGAGACGGCGCCATCGCCGAAGGATGGACTTCGCTTGTTTTTTCGATGCTCGCTCAACCTTGTTGACGCCGGGGACACTTTCCGGCTGCCCCCCCAATATACTCCGGTGGTGATGGCAACAATTGATTCTCCGACGCACGGTTGGACGTGTGCGGTCGAGAGCGCGAGAGTCAACTTTGCTCGATGGCGACGATGATGAGTCGACGACGACGACGACGAGAATGAGTCGATGATGTTATTTGTCTTCTTCCTCCCAGGTGCGAGCCGCACACTGCACGTGGCGGAACTTGGCCGCCGCTGCCCTTCTCACTCCCGTCTACCCCTGGGCCCCTGCTCATCTCCATCTACCCCTGGGCCCTGCTCATCTCCATCTACCCCTGGGCCCTGCTCATCTCCATCTACCCCTGGGCCCTGCTCATCCCCATCTACCCCTGGGCCCTGCTCATCCCCATCTACCCCTGGGCCCCTCCTCATCTCCATCTACCCCTGGGCCCTGCTCATCCCCATCTACCCCTGGGCCCTGCTCATCTCCATCTACCCCTGGGCCCTCCTCATCCCCATCTACCCCTGGGCCCTGCTCATCTCCCATCTACCCCTGGGCCCTGCTCATCTCCATCTACCCCTGGGCCCTGCTCATCTCCATCTACCCCTGGGCCCTGCTCATCTCCATCTACCCCTGCGCCCTGCTCATCTCCATCTACCCCTGGGCCCTCCTCATCCCCATCTACCCCTGGGCCCTGCTCATCTCCCATCTACCCCTGGGCTCCTCCTCATCTCCATCTACCCCTGGGCCCTCCTCATCCCCATCTACCCCTGGGCCCTCCTCATCTCCATCTACCCCTGGGCCCTGCTCATCCCCATCTACCCCTGGGCCCTCCTCATCTCCATCTACCCCTGGGCCCTCCTCATCCCCATCTACCCCTGGGCCCTCCTCATCTCCATCTACCCCTGGGCCCTGCTCATCCCCATCTACCCCTGGGCCCTGCTCATCTCCATCTACCCCTGGGCCCTCCTCATCTCCATCTACCCCTGGGCCCTGCTCATCTCCATCTACCCCTGCGCCCTGCTCATCTCCATCTACCCCTGGGCCCTCCTCATCCCCATCTACCCCTGGGCCCTGCTCATCTCCCATCTACCCCTGGGCTCCTCCTCATCTCCATCTACCCCTGGGCCCTCCTCATCCCCATCTACCCCTGGGCCCTCCTCATCTCCATCTACCCCTGGGCCCTCCTCATCCCCATCTACCCCTGGGCCCTGCTCATCTCCCATCTACCCCTGGGCCCTCCTCATCCCCATCTACCCCTGGGCCCTGCTCATCTCCCATCTACCCCTGGGCTCCTCCTCATCTCCATCTACCCCTGGGCCCTCCTCATCCCCATCTACCCCTGGGCCCTGCTCATCCCCATCTACCCCTGGGCCCTGCTCATCTCCATCTACCCCTGGGCCCTCCTCATCTCCATCTACCCCTGGGCCCTGCTCATCTCCATCTACCCCTGGGCTCCTCCTCATCTCCATCTACCCCTGGGCCCTCCTCATCCCCATCTACCCCTGGGCCCTCCTCATCTCCATCTACCCCTGGGCCCTGCTCATCTCCCATCTACCCCTGGGCTCCTCCTCATCTCCATCTACCCCTGGGCCCTCCTCATCCCCATCTACCCCTGGGCCCTCCTCATCCCCATCTACCCCTGGGCCCTCCTCATCTCCATCTACCCCTGGGCCCTGCTCATCCCCATCTACCCCTGGGCCCTCCTCATCTCCATCTACCCCTGGGCCCTCCTCATCCCCATCTACCCCTGGGCCCTCCTCATCTCCATCTACCCCTGGGCCCTGCTCATCCCCATCTACCCCTGGGCCCTGCTCATCTCCATCTACCCCTGGGCCCTCCTCATCTCCATCTACCCCTGGGCCCTGCTCATCTCCATCTACCCCTGGGCCCTCCTCATCCCCATCTACCCCTGGGCCCTGCTCATCTCCCATCTACCCCTGGGCCCTGCTCATCTCCATCTACCCCTGGGCCCTCCTCATCCCCATCTACCCCTGGGCCCTGCTCATCTCCCGTCTACCCCTGGGCCCTGCTCATCTCCCGTCTACCCCTGGGCTCCACGATGGGCAACACGGAGGCGAAGCCGGAAGAGGATGTGCAGGAGCAGCCGCCGGGCATCGTTCTCAACTCGTACCAGCACAACGAGAACCGCAAGCATCTGGTCAGATGCTCGCCGTCACCACTGTCATCATCAACATGCATCATCATCATCACCACCACCACCGTGATCATCATTATCACCACTACCACCACCACCACGATCATCAGTATCATTACCACCACTATCATCATCACCACCACCATCACCACTATCATCAACATCATCACCACCACCGCCAGGATCATCATCATCATCATCACCACCCCACCATCATCACTACCAACAACAACCGCCATTCGCCACAAAGTGGCGGTGACGTCACCACGACGCTTGTGCCAGGCCATGTGCACCTTGAGGCCACGTGAAGTGTCGAACGCCCGCTGGCAGGAGGTCACGGGGCAGACCCAGCAGGTGCCACGGGTCAACTGACTGAGATGAGTGGCCGATGCACCACCTGCCCCCCCTACTGTGCCAACTCGCTGTGCTTTAGCCACCCGGTGCTCCGCTCGTTGTTGTGAGCGTCACTCCTCCGCCCTCTGTTGTTGTTGGAGGTCGACTGCCTCCAACTGCCCAGTAGCGTCCTTCACGAGCCTCCTCCACAAAGGCCGACCTTGACACCACTGGTACCAGTCATCGGCATGTCCACTCAGCTCCACATCCTCCTGAACCACATCACTCCATCTCTTCTCTAGCCCGTGCCGTGCCCGTATAGCCCCCTCGATCCGGCCAAACAAAAGCTGTTTAGGCATGCGGTAGCTGGGCATGCGGGCTACATAGCCCAGCCAACGCAGCCTTGCCTGCCGGAGTAGCTCACCGATGGTACTTTGTCCAGATCTTTCAAGGATTTGTGAGCTCCTCAGACAATCCAGCCTGGTTAAATCCAGGATGGATCGTAGGCAGGCCAGCCTAAATGTTTCCGGCGAAGATGTTCCATTAGGGTGGTCCACGTTTTGCAAGCATAGAGAAGGGAGGCAATAACTGGCCGAGAAGACCTGAAGCTTCGTGTGGAGCGCAAGACCATGTAGCTTCCACACAGCGTTACGCAACCGATGAAAAGATAATGTCGCTCGACTGATTCAGAGTAAGACCTCTGATGTTAAACTGGAGCTGGTCATGAGCACACTGCCCAGGTATGGGAAACTCTTCACTCTCTTCACAACTGCCCTATCACCAATTGGGAGTTGTGGGGGTGGAGTGTCCGATTGTACAAAATACCCAGGCAGGTGCTTTGTTTTGGTGGGGCTGATGGTAAGGCCCCACCTCTTAGTGGTAAGCTCCAGGTTCAGCAGCAGCGCCCCCAACTCCTTCTCTGAGTGAGCAGCAATTACCAGATCATCGGCATTACATAACATGGTTGAGCAATAGGGAGCCATCTCTTGACTGCACCCGGGCATCGAACAGCCTCCCATTGTATCTGTACCAGATGGAAATTCCTCCGGTACAGCTATTGAAGGCTTCATGAACTACGTGGTCGAAATAGATGTTAAATAATGTGGGAGGCAGAGGACATCCCTGTCGCACCCCAAGGTGTACAGGGAATGGCTCTGACTCCCGGCCACGTAGTTTTACCCGGGCCCGCTCACCATCATGAATGTCCTTAATGATCGTGAGCAGAGGGTCAGAGACTCTGAAAGCATGAAGAACAACCCAGAGCCCAGGCCTACTGATGGTATCATAGGCCTTGACCAGCAGATGGACGGAAAATATGGCATCTGTGCAGGACTGCCCTTTCCTGAAACCGCATTGGGGCTCCGCAAGCCTCTCCTCAGCGTGCCTCGCAAGGCGATGTTGAATAATCCATGCCAGGACCTTTTCTGGCACACTGAGGAGGGAGATGCCCCTGTAGTTGTTACAGTCTGTGCGGTCCCCCTTCTTAAAGAGGGGGACCACCGGGGCATTCTTCCAATCCTGCTGAACCCATCCAGTGGTCCAGACTGTTGTTATGATGTCATGTAGGGCAGTCTTTGCACAAACGCCACCCTTCCTCAGCATTTCGCTTGGGAGATCATATCTGCCCGGTGCCTTTCCTGGTCTCAGACTCTGGATCGCCTTCAGTATTTCCTCCACAGATGGCACCTCAGCCAGCCTCTCACAGGGGGTGACTTCTTCTAATGTTTGAGGCACCGCAGCCTCGGGAGGAATATTCCCATTTTGTCCCACGTTGTTTTCCAGGCTGAGAGATTTCCCCTCCCCCAGGACCTCACAGAAATGCTCAGCAAATCTGCAAACCTGTTCCGGGGAGTCGGAGATTGGATCACCATTCTTTCCCCTAATGATGGTAATAGGTGTGGCGCTGCAGGTTACTTTTTTATCGAATTAAAGAGCGATTTGTGATCGCGTGCCATTGAGGCAGACCCCATCTCCTCAGCAACCCGCGACCACCACCCATCCTTGCAGCGCCTCACGGCTCTCCGAACCTCCGAGCGAAGGCTGCGGTAAGCCTCCTCATTCTCCGATGTGGGATGCTGTAGCCGATGAGAGTGGGCCTGTCGCTTTTTCTCAGCCAGCTTGAACACCTCCTCTGTCAGCCAGGGTCTCTGGGGAGGTCTGGACCGTGTACCCAAAGTAGCCATTGCAGCTGCATGAGCCACAGTCCTAAACCTCGCCCATTTCCCCTCGACATCAGGAGGAGTGGGGGACGATGCCAACCCCAGCCGCAAGCGATGATGAAATTCTCGCTTGCAACTTTCATCAGCTAGCTGAGACCATGTCACTAAGGGTTTGAAAGGGGTCCTGGGTGTAAACCCACCACCGGAGTGGAAGAATGGCAGGCGCATCTTACAGATGACAAGTCGATGGTCAGTGGGCAGATCAGCTCCACGGTAGGTCCTGGTGTCAAGGACATGGGCCCACATCCGCTGTTCCGTCACTATGTAGTCCAGCAGATGTTCTTGATTGGACCCAGCATGCATCCATGATGTTGTGTGGATGCGCCGATGCCGGAACAGCGTGTTGGTAATTACAAGCCCATGGGTTGCACAAAAATCTAGCAGCCTCCTGTTGTTGTTATTGAGCTGATCTGGCCCATGCCTTCCAATCACTCCAGGCCAGGTGCCAGCATCATGACCAACTCTGCATTGAAGTCACCCAACAAGATGACTCTAATTCCGAGGGGCAACTAAAGCCAGCACCTGTGACAGGAGGTCATAGAAGGCATCTGACTCATCGGCCTTGCCTGCATCCCTCCGCGGATGTTCGTCTTCAGTGGGGACATAAGTAACCACGACCACCACTCCTCGCCTCTGGTTGATGGGAAGGCGAGCCCAAAGTAGCCTGGGGCTTACAGCTTCCCACACCTCACCGCCACACTCCCACGCTCCCACGCCCCCCTTATTATTTTGTTCAGAAGAAGAGCCACTACCTGTTGTTTGGCAGTCTCCTGCCCCGAGTAGAGGACTGTCCACCCCTCATGGTGGCAGGAGCCAGAGCCGGTCCACCGGACCCCCTGAATGCCACAGAGATCCAGGCGGTACCGTTCCAGCTCCTGACAGAGGAGTGGCAGCCTCTCCTCCGCAGTGAGTGTTCGAACATTCCACGTGGCCACACGTACACGCACACCGTACACTCACATACAGTACACACATACAGTACACACACACGGTACACTACACACAGTACACACACACACAGTACACACATACAGTACACACACAGTACACACACAGTACACACATACAGTACACACACAGTACACATACACAGTACACACAGTACACACAGTACACTACACACAGTACACACAGTACACTACACACAGTACACACACACAGTACACACACAGTACACACACACACAGTACACACACACACACAGTACACACACAGTACACACACACACAGTACACACACACAGTACATACACACACAGGACACACACAGTACACACACACAGTACACACACAGTACACACACAGGACACACATCGATGGGGGGGTGGGGGGCGTTTTTTCATCGATGCTGGGAATTCCTCTCCCATCGATGATTCCTCCCCCCATCGCCCCCATCGATGGGGCGGGGGGGGGGAGGCCTTAATCCAGCAGTGGATCGAGCGTGACTGTTGACGATGACTGTGGTGGGGGTGATGATGATGACGACGATGATCACGACCATCCCTGCTTGCGCGTGCGTCTCTGTTGCTCGTTTCAGGACGTGGCGCACAAAGCCGACTCCAATTCAAAGTCTCCAGCTCATGCCGGCACTACAGGTGAGCCCTGAACTCACTCACTGCTGCTGCTGTGTTCACTCACTAGTACTGTGTTCATTCGCTGCCGTGTGTTCACTCGTGCCCACCGTGGCACCAACAACACCCCTCAGCAAATCACTTGTTGAGCGACGTTCACCGCGAGTTGCTCCTCATACACACGCGCTTCCAGGCACCGGTGAGTCCAGAGGTGGGACAAAGTCATTGTTATGCAAGTCCAAGTCGAGTCTGAAGTCATCAAATTCATGACTCGAGTCTGACTCGAGTCCAAGTCACATGACTCGAGTCCACACCTCTGCCGGTGACTACTAGTGTATAGTAGTGTATAATGTAGTGTACAGCGTAGTGTGCAGCGTAGTTTATGATAGTGTGACATATACCACCAATTATATATTACACCACCCCTGTACATTGTGAAGCATCACCCACACCGAGCCGGCCATCCACACTGCCAATCCACCGCATTCAAATATTGTCTGGGGTTGCCAAACTGGACAGACCGGGCTTTCAAAAAATCAAACGAGGTCCCTTGAATGTTTCGTCAAACGCCCCCGGATTTGCACGGCGTTGTGCAAACTCAGAAAGGGTTCGCAGTGGGGTAGGAGGGGCTGGGTGGGTGGGCTGGGTGGGTGGGGTGGGGGGGCTGGGTGGGTGGGGGAGGGGCTGGGTGGGTGCGGGGAGGGGCTGGGTGGGTGGGTGCGGGGAGGGGCTGGGTGGGTGCGGGGAGGGGCTGGGTGGGTGGGTGGGGGGAGGGTCTGGGTGGGGTGGGAGGGGCTGGGTGGGTGGGGTGGGTGGGTGGGGGGAGGGGCTGGGTGGGGTGGGAGGGGCTGGGTGGGTGGGGTGGGTGGGGGGAGGGGCTGGGTGGGTGCGGGGAGGGGCTGGCTGGGTGGGGTGGGGGGAGGGGCTGGGTGGGGTGGGGGGAGGGGCTGGGTGGGGTGGGGGGAGGGGCTGGGTGGGGTGGGGGGAGGGGCTGGGTGGGGTGCGGGGAGGGGCTGGGTGGATGCGGGGAGGGGCTGGGTGGGTGCGGGGAGGGGCTGTGTTGCCTCCGAAACATCGTGATTTATTATTTTATTTTATTTCCATTATTACTTTTATTAACTTTTAATTTTATTTTTTACCTACGTGACTTTACCGAAAAAACCTAAGAGTATGGGGGTGACGCTCCTTGTGCATTGTAGGAACAATGGAATTAACTCGTCATCCACGAACACGTGGGCGCACACGAACACGTGGGCGCACACGAACACGTGGGCACACACGCGCACGACGGAACTCATTCGGCATCTCCCAACCTCTCTGCACGGGGAGACATGCAACACGTTGCGACATTAGGAAGCAACTCGGAGCTTATGGCACTTTCCAGGAATGTAGAGTGAAAACTGATTTATTTAGAGCTGATTTGTGCGTCTGTTTAGTTTGTTATTCTGCCCCCCGCCCCTCTCTCCGCACCTCCAATTAGCACAGTCGGCTACGTACGGTGCGAAAAAAATTCAACATCCATACATTATTTGGTGACGCTGCTGCGTTGGCAGTGGTGCAACAGCACAAACAACACAAAACAAATAAACCAAACACGTCCCATGTCAAATAATGTAACACTGTGTGGTCCTCCAAGGGTAAAAACAAATATTTCATAGGCGACGTTTCGGGCAATGACCATTCTTCTCGGCATAGAGATGTACGTGTGTGTCTTCTGAAGAGTTGTTTAAGTTCCATGAAGAAGGGACATTGCCTGAAACGTCGCCTTTGTGTGTTGGCGCCATGGTGGCCAGATGTTAACTCCCTCGCCTGGCGTACAGGAGGTCGTGGGTTCCATCCCGAATCTGACGCCTGCTGCTGTGTATTTGGAGTTTGCGTGTCTCTCTCTCTCATCATCATCACGGTGGCTAGGAGATGTTAACTACCTCGCCTGGTGTGCAGGAGGTCGTGGGTTCGATCCCGACCCTGACACCTGCTGTATAGTTGGAGTTTGCGTGTCTCTCTCATCATCATCATCACGGTGGCTAGTAGATGTTAACTACCTCGCCTGGTGTACAGGAGGTCGTGGGTTCGATCCCGACCCTGACGCCTGCTGCTGTATATTTGGAGTTTGCGTGTCTCTCTCATCATCATCATCACGGTGGCTAGGAGATGTTAACTACCTCGCCTGGTGTACAGGAGGTCGTGGGTTCCATCCCGACCCTGACGCCTGCTGTATAGTTGGAGTTTGCGTGTCTCTCTCATCATCATCACAGTGGCTAGGAGATCTTAACTATCTCGCCTGGTCTACAGGAGGTCGTGGTTTTAATCTCGACCCTGACGTCTGCTGCTGTATATTTGGAGTTTGCGTGTCTCTCTCTCCCCGTGGTCGCGTGGATTTTCAACTTGGCTCCACCGGGTTTCCCCTACACATTAATAAGCACGCGTTTAGAGAGCGGGTCTGCTCTAACTGCCCACACGGTGATAAGGGGCCGTCCATAAATGACGTCACGCACCTAGGGGGGGGGGGGGTTAGACATGTGTGACGAGGCGGGGGGGGGGGTGAGAAATGTGACGTCACATCAAAATGCGCAACTTTAAATAAATATAGAAATAGACTTTTTAATAAATGTTTTCTCCTACAACATCGGAGTGCAGCGCTACATTAAATACGCACTACAATGACAATAGTTTAAAGCGATTTGAAGCAGGTTTTATTTTCAAAATGGAAATATGGTTTTGGGGGGGCAGAGCTTTGTGACGTCATATTTGAAGGGGGGGGGGGGGTCTGACTTTTGTGACGCCAGTGAGAATTTTCTCACTCAGTGAGTATTTAATTGTTTTATTTTTATTATTTTATTATTTCCCTTCTACGTGACTTTACCGAAAGAACCAAGAATATGAATCCCTGCAGTCACGAAAGCTTTAAATCAATAACATTATATTTAAATATTTATACATAAACATATTTATATATAAATAAATGTAAATACCTGAGTTGGTAATTTGTTACAAACCGGAATTGTCACCTGAAATGTGTCAACTTGCGCACCGATGTGACCCACAAAGACAAAGATCCCCCGTATAGCCTCTAACAGGCTATTGGGGCAAGTGCTGTGAGCGATGACCAAAGATAAAGATCCCCCGTATAGCCTCTAACAGACTGTTGGGGCAAGTGCTGTTAGCGAATACTAAAGACAAAGATCCCCCGTATAGCCTCTGACAGACTATTGGGGCAAGTGCTGTTAGCGAATACTAAAGACAAAGATCCCCCGTATAGCCTCTAACAGACTGTTGGGGCAAGTGCTGTTAGCGAATACTAAAGACAAAGATCCCCCGTATAGCCTCTGACAGACTATTGGGGCAAGTGCTGCTGGCGAGTAACAAAGACAAAGATCCCCCGTATAGCCTCTGACAGACTATTGGGGCAAGTGCTGCTGGCGAGTAACAAAGACAAAGATCCCCCGTATAGCCTCTGACAGACTATTGGGGCAAGTGCTGCTAGCGAGTAACAAAGACAAAGATCCCCCGTATAGCCTCTAACAGACTGTTGGGGCAAGTGCTGTTAGCGAGTACCAAAGACAAAGATCCCCCGTATAGTCTCTGACAGGCAATTGGGGCAAGTGCTGTTAGCGAGTACCAAAGACAAAGATCCCCCGTATAGCCTCTAACAGACTGTTGGGGCAAGTGCTGTTAGCGAGTACCAAAGACAAAGATCCCCCGTATAGCCTCTAACAGACTGTTGGGGCAAGTGCTGTTAGCGAGTAACAAAGACAAAGATCCCCCGTATAGCCTCTAACAGACTGTTGGGGCAAGTGCTGTTAGCGAGTATCAAAGACAAAGATCCCCCGTATAGTCTCTGACAGGCAATTGGGGCAAGTGCTGTTAGCGAGTACCAAAGACAAAGATCCCCCGTATAGCCTCTAACAGACTGTTGGGGCAAGTGCTGTTAGCGAGTAACAAAGACAAAGATCCCCCGTATAGTCTCTATCAGACTTTTGGGGCAAGTGCTGTTAGCGAGTATCAAAGACAAAGATCTCCCGTATAGTCTCTGACAGGCTATTGGGGCAAGTGCTGTTCGCGAGCACCTATGAAGGTCGGTACTGCACAACTATGTGGGGGTGACCCGGCCGCCTTTGTCTCCCCAGTGGCGACGTTTTTACACACCGCACCAGGTACTCATTTGAGGCCGAGTCGACCTAGGGGAGGCCCAGGAGCCGGGTTCAGATGTATAATTGGCGGGAATTGAACACGCGGGTCGTTGGGTCCGTCGGCGCAGCGCGCTAACCGCTGCGCCACCGCTCCCCACGTAGAAGTTATTTATTTATTATACGATTTGAGGGGGGCGACCCCCCCCCCCCACCCACCCTGCCCCTCCTCCCCTCCACACGTGGTGGGTTTGTCGCTAACCCTCCGCCAAGGACTGTGCGTGACTAAGGGGCCGTCCATAAATGACGTCACGCAGCTAGGCGGGGGGGGGGGTCAGACATTTGTGACGATGTGTGACGAGGGGGGGGGGGGGGGGTGAGAAATGTGACGTCACATAAAAAATGTGCAACTTTAAATAAACATAAACAACACGTTCTACTTAATTAAATTGACTTTTAATAAATGTTTTCTCCTACAACATCAGAGTGCAGCGCCACATTAAATACGCACTACAATGACAACAGTTTAAAGCGATTTGAAGCATGTTTTTTTGGGGGGGGGGGGCAGAGCTTTGTGATGTTATATTTGAGGGGGGGGGTCTGACTTTTTGTGACGCCGTGTGACGATGGGGGGGGGGGGGGGGGTCAAAAATCGTCCAAAATCGCGTGACGTCATTTATGGACGGCCCCCTAATTCGGCCGGAATGCCGCCCCCATTCTGTTTTCCGATCCCGATACGCCACAAAATGAAATCAAAGGGCGCGGAGAGGCGCAGGATCGACGCGAGCTGGACCGCTGCATTGTGTTTTTAATTAAAATCTTGAATTGTTACGATTCCAAAGAACACAGGATGAGATGTTACTATCCTTTGTGCAAGCACTTCCAAGAGTTCACGAA